TGCTTTGTTCCTGATCTTAGTGGAAATGCTGCTAGTCTTTTTCCAATAAATAAGATACTGGCTTTAGGATTAAGCTATGTATATTTTTTCATGTTAAGAATATAACAGTCAATTCCTATTTTCTTTAGTTTTTATAAACGGGTTTTAATTTTGTCAAAGGATTTTTCAGCATCCATGGAGATAATACTATTTTTTCCTTAGCTTTATTAATACAGTGAATGATATTAATGGATTTCCTAATACTGAACCCAACTTGCGTTTCTAGAAAAATATCCTACTTGGTCATGATGTGTGATTGCTTAATGTGATATTTCATTCTATTTGTTCATATTTTATGTAATATTTTTGCATTGAAATTCATAAGTGATACTGGTCTGCAGTTTTCTTTCTTTGTTCTGTTTATCTGATTTATCAGAGTTATACATGCTTCATAAAAGGAGTTGGAAAGTTTCCTTCCTTGTTGGTGCTCTGGAATAATTTCTGTGTAGTGCACTGGAATGATCTGATCTTTGAAAGTTTAGTGGAATTCCCCTGTGGAACTGGCTGGTCCTGGTGCTTCTTGTGGGGTACTTGCTCATAACCCTTTCTGGTTTTTTCTCTATGGCAGTCATCTGTTTAAGTTTCCTATCTCTGATGGGGTCAGGTTTTGTCATCTGAATTTTCTTAGGAAGTTATCCATTTTGTCTACATTTTCAAATTCATTTGTATAGAAATCTACAAAATAGTCTCTTACGAGTTTTAAAATTTCTTGTGTTTCATTTTATTTCCCTGTGTCATTTCTTATTTTCTGTATTTGTGCTTTTTCCCCTTTTTTTCTTGGTTAAGTTAGCCAGTGGATTGTCTGTTTTGTTAATTCCTCTTTCCCCACCTCTAACTCCCCAGGATTTACATCTACTATTTTTCGATGGAAAAAAACCCTCTACTTCATTAATCAGCTTTTCCCTCCATTATTTCCTTCCTTGTGTTTTCTTTTGGGTTACTGTGTTGTTCTTTTCCTAGTTTTTATGAGCTGAGATTTTATTAATTTATTAATTTTATTCTTTCATTTTTATTGGTAACATGTTAGTATAATGAAGTTTTCTCTGATAACTGCTTTAAATCCATTGCATAGATTCTGATAGGTAGTGTTTTCCTTGTAGCTTCTTGAGAAGAATGTGATTCTGTGTTATCAGGGTATGAAGTTCAGTACATAGCCGTAAGATCTACCTTGATTGAGAACGCCATTTAGATCTTCTGTCTTCTTCTTACTTTTTGGAACCCTTGCTCTGCCTTGTACTGAGGATGGTGTATTAAGTCTCCTGTGATTAGCATGATTTTGTCTCCTTGTATCTCTGTATTGTCTTTGCTTCGTAAAGGTGGTGGTTATATTGTTTGGTGCATAGATGTTCATGAGCATTAAGTCTTCACTGTGAACTATGGCTTTTAGCATTAAATATGTCCTCTGTTGTATTTAATGCTTTGTGGCTTGAAATCTACTTGGTGTATTCCTTCTTTCTGTTTTCATTTGCCGGTATATGTTTGTCCATTCTTTTTATTTTTAGCCTTTCAAAATCATTTTATTTTAGGTGTGCCTCTTGTATACAGCATATAATTGGGTCTTGTTTTGTGAACCAAATTTAAAACCTTTCTTTAAAAATAGGTGAGTTAAGCTCATTAACATTTGACGTGACTGATTTATTTGTGTGCAACTCTATCATAATATTCCATAATTATGTATATTTTCTTATATTTGGTATTTCTTTATGCAATCTGTATTCTTTGCTTTTTTATTCAGATTTTTTATTTTGGATTTAGGAGGATTTGTATTTTCTAGTGATTAGTTTTGTATTTAAACCTATTTTAATGTCCTTAGTAATCGGTTTTATCATTTAACTCTTTACTGTCTGATTTATCAATTTTTTCCCAGTATTGTTTAATATGCTCCTGTCACTCATACAGTATTGGCCTATACACAGTCAGAATTTGTCGTAGTGTTTTTTTTTTCTTTTTTTTTTTGTGGTGTGTGGGCCTCTCACTGTTGTGGCCTCTCTCGTTGTGGAGCACAGGCTCCGGACGCACAGGCTCAGCGGCCATGGCTCACGGGCCCAGCTGCTCTGCGGCATGTGGGATCTTCCCAGACCGGGGCACAAACCCGTGTCCCCTGCATCGGCAGGCGGACTCCCGAACCACTGAGCCACCAGGGAAGCCCCCACAGTCAGAATTTTTCCTCTTTCCCTCCCCCTTCGTCTCTCATATTTTAGTTGAATTATTTCTGCTTTGTCAGAGTATTTAATATTTGCACATTAGTCTTTCGACCTAATCCCACCTTTATTTTAAATTTAGTCTTAGATGTACATCTAAATACTTTCAAATGCTTACAAAAAATCCTTATGCTGGAATTTTCCCAGTCATCGCTTGGTGAGATAAAGGCTTACCTTCACGTAGAATCCTCAGGAAGGGCTGATGGGTGTAGTATTCTCTAAATTCTTGTATGTTGAAACTCTTTTTCTGTAATCTTGATATTTGAAGGACAGCTTGCTGGATTTAAAATTCTTATTTCATATTTTCTTTCCTTGAGATTGAAAAGAATGTTTCTCCATTGTCATCTTACTTGTATGTTGGTTTTGAAAAACCTGATGCCAGTCCAGTTCCTTTGCACTTTCATTGATCTGCATGCCCAGGGGCCTTGAGGATTTTATCTTTATCTTTGAAATCTCCTAGTTTTATTAGGATATATCTCAGCATTGATCATTCTGGGTTAATTTTCCCAGGTGCCCTGTGAGCCTTTTCATTTTAAGATTCAGTCATTTTTTTGTTTTGGGGAAGTTTTCTTAGTTACAGTTTTAAACATTAGCTTTGCTCCATTATTTTGTTTTCCTCTTTTCGGAACTCTGATTTATGAACACTATTCCTTCTTTGTCTTCCATTTCCACTGCTTCCTTTCCTACCCTTTTTTTTTCCTTTATGTTCTTTTCCTTCTCTTGGTTGTGCTCCTGTCCTTCTTTAGTGCCCTTTATTTTCACTTGAATTTATTCTCCTTATTGCATTTTATAATTTATTCCTCATTTCTGAGATAATTGTGCTTTTTCCTTCCATTACTTTCCTGAACTCATTCAAGTCTCTCTTGGTTTCTCCCTGCTTTTGTCCCTTTCTGTTTTTACATTTCTAATTCAAGGTGGTTTTTCATATCTTCAAATGTTTGTTTGAGCGTTTAAGTATGTTTTTAGACTGTTTGAATTACAATCTTCTTTTGATTCCTGGTTGTTTTTCAGGAGGGATTTTTATGTTAATGCGTGTTTTGTAAAGATTGCTGGTCTAATGGCAGTTCTTCTGTTAATTTGGCTGAGTCCAGGTATAGCAGGTGTCTGTCTGTCTGTCTGTTTTGGTGATGGACAGGGGAGGGTGTGAGGCTCCTGGTATTATGGTCCTCGTGGCTTGCAGGACCCTAACTTCCCCTCTTTCTCCTTCTCACCACCCAGCACCCAAGGGGCACTCCTGCAACTCATTTGCCTGTTTCCCTCTCAGGACCTGTGAGTTTGGAGGAGAGCCTCTTTAAATGGCGTCTGTTTCCACGGTGTGGACTTTGGAGGCCCTGCCCCGAGTCTGTGCTCCAGGGCTCAGGCTCCCCCCGAGCTGCCGTGTCCGGGTGGGCTTTCCGGGGGCAGATCACTCACACCCTCACTGGCGTCCCCGCTCCGTCCAGCTCACAGCTTCTGCCCTTGCTCAGCATGGAGCCACGCTGGGGGTGTGGGCTGGAGTAGAGGGGGCCCCGCACTGGGGTTTGGTGGCTTTTCTTTCTCACTGGCCGTATTCTCAGATGTCAGTGTTCTCTGATCTCAGGCTGTGCCCAGGGTGTGGTTCAGTGCAGAAGTGACTGTGGCCTTTCTGTATTTCCTGGTGTTCAGGAAGAACTGTAGGGAGAGGGGTGACTGCCTCTGCCCTTGTCTCAGCCGCATGGATTCCACACTTTATTTACCCCAGGACATTATTCTCAATGGTTTAAGGGGCTCAGATGTCGTCAACGTTTTCCATTTTCATCCTCAGGTATCTGTTTTAAGGCTTGTTAGGGAAGAGTAACCCTGGCACTCTAAACCCATGATAGGAGGTTTCTATCAATATATTAGATAAATCCATTAAGTAAAAAAAAGTCAATTTAGAAAACCATAAATAAATAATAGGACAGATAATGAACAGATTTGGCACCAGTCATGACGGTGGTTTGCCAGTGACTGAAGAGGGTGTGCAGGCCGCCCGTGTGCTAGGGTGCTTTCTGACTCAGGTGGGAGCTGTCCACCAGCGGGGCCGCCCTCTGGCCCAGGGACCCAGGATGGAATGCTGGCGCTGGCAAGGGGTGGACCTCCTGACCCTCAGCTCTGTGTCACTGAAAACATCGTTACCCCGCAAAGTACACAGTCTTCGCACTTAGAGAGTGAACCGTTTTCCTTTAGCATTGGAGGGTTGCTTTTGTAATTCATCTTTAGTTCATGGAGAAGCAAAAGCCAAATGCTGACTTTCCCAAAGGTTATCAGTTATGGGCTGTGTGTGCAACTTTTGAAATAAATAAAATTAGTTTACTCTTCAGTGTCAGTAAGACAAAGAATTATCCACATGTGAATTATTCATATTGTATTAAGAAAGTATTTGCCTTGATACCAGGCAAAATGTATTGAAGCATATAACCAGTTTCTTGAACAAAATTTATAGGTTTTGTACATTTTCAATATTAATAAACCAGTCACAATAGTTTATTACAAGAGTTGCAGCCAAAATTGTTTAAAATGACTGTTTTAAATCCGTAAAGCTAAGTAAATATCAGACAATGCTAGAAATAATGAGGTTAAGTGTAATTGATGGTGTTTATTCCCGAAAGATAAAGTTTAAAGTCATCTCCTCAAATGTCCTATAAACTTTCCCAGCTCCACAGGGGTCTGTCTTTGCAGCTGAGGTTCTCAGAAAGCAAATTCAATTAGAGTGTTGTGTGCTTTACGAGGCCATCTCAAGTGAGATTTTGTTTGTTGCAGAAACGGGCATGCAGGAGATTAGAAGCAGCGGCGCAGGAGTGGGGCTGCCCCCAGGTGAAGGTGCGCGTGCCCGCATCCTGGGGCAGCAAGGAGCCCGAGTCACCAGATGCCCAGCCCAGAGGCCACCTCCTTGCACCGAGGCCAGACGGTGGCCAGGGGCGACCAAGCGTGGGGGTAGGTTTCTGCTCCCACCAAACCAGCCTCTAAATGTCTAATGAAAAGTGTAAATAACCACCGTTCTGATTCACCTGCCGCTGTGATTTGTTAAATAGGTTCCTCAGGACGGTGGAAAGAGCTGGGCCCAGCCTTGCCCAAGATGCATTGCGGGGGAGTCTGTAAGTACATTAACCTTCTTGCTGTGACATAAAAGATAGACTTGGCCTTAAATATTAGATCCATAAAACAAAGTTCATAAAAACAGCAGTTACGTTTCTAAGGAATGAGGGATGTGAATAAAAAGGTGCAGATAAGCTTTTCTTAGCATTCTACCCGGCTGCAAACTAATTTGTTTCCAGCTTCAGACTGGAAATAGAAATTGAATATACATTTTAAATTCTTTCTAAAACACAGGGTTCAGGGAAGGGAACAGGTCTCTGGATATGGTTAAAATAGAGGTTATTTGAGTACATCTTAGAGAAGAGTCCTAACCTCATTTACTTATCCAAATAGGAATCAACGTTGTTTTTTCTCTTTTCCCTCTTTAAGCTTTTCTTTCATGTTTGCATAAACTTCACACAAACCACAGATTTCAGAAGGAGAAACACAGTATTCACACCATTAATTCAAAGTAAAGGGAGGTCTTAACGTGACCAGAGTCAGATTCTCAGTCTCCTGTGCTGGGCAGAAAATCGTAAAGTGTGCGTTAGCATCATGATACCCTTGTTACTAATTCTGAACTTGTTCTAAAAACAAGTTAATAGGTTTGAAACCGCTGTAATTCTTGGTTTTTGTTTTTTGTTTTTGTTTTTTTTAATTTTAAATTTGCAGTCTTCATATTGCAGTAAGATAGAATTGTGTTTAATTTCCACATAGAAAGCAGGAGTGTCTCTGTGTGTGTGTGTCTGTGTGAGTATTTTCAGGATTGCCCCCTAAGGATCTTTAGAGAAACACATTGCTGTTTTTGATAAGCAAAAGACTGAGTCAGTAAACTATAGTCTTCATGTGCTGCATTGCAGGCAACTTGTTTTATAGTGAGAGGCAATGACTGTTTTAAACTGAGGCCTAGAACTGTGTCAGTTATCGCCCACGCGAACCTCTGACTCTGTGACGTCATCAGACAAATATGAAGACAGAGGTTGGTGGCAGACCTGCCCCAATGTGCTTCTCTACTTTTTGTCCTCTATCTTCCGGGAACTTTCCGCAGGTTGTATTGCGTTTTGTGGCGTAATCCTGAACAATGGTGAAATCAAAGATCCAGCAACTTGAACTTACTGTATTTCGGTTGATTCACTGTAACTGCCAAACATGCCCTGGATTTCGAGTAAACAGTACGACCCCATTATGGGTAGGTTGCATGAATGCTGGTGACTACCCAGGACCTTCCTTGTTCTTATCCCATTTCCATGGAATGTATCTTTCAAATCCCCCATCTGCTGGGCAAACAGTTGGAACGTCATGCGGGCTCTTCATGCTCTGAGAGGTCGTCTTGCACGAAGGGCTTAAAGGAAAAAGAATTTGGCCCAGGCAGCTGATTGGGTCACTTAAGCTAATGCTCTGTCTGAACAACAGTACCTATTTGGTTAGGGTTTTCCTTCCTTTGTAACTCCCCAGGCTTGCCTCTGTATGTTTCCTAGGAGATGAATCTGCGCACAGAAAACCTATATTGATATGTAAATATATCATTTTTTTGTTAATGCTCTATATTCTTTTCATCTAAATTTCAGAAAGTGACTTTAAAAAATCAGTTTCCCTTTATTTGTAGTTATTCTCAATAAAATTTCACCCAGGCTTGGGTGATTTAATATTTACACCCACTACTTGTAAAAGTCTTATGTAAATAAAGATTGAAATGTGAATTTGAAAAGTCACACCTCTTGATATTTGAACAGACTATAGCTGCATATATCTTCTTTTTCTAATAATATGGCTAGTTTCTCTCTTAAGCTTTTAAAATAATAAGACACTATTTTTGTATTCTAGAACATCAAAAGGCTCAGTGTTAAATAAAAAGCAAATAGTAGTTTTAGAAGTGCAAGATCCCAGGGAGAAGTGCTTAACGGTAAATCACTGATGGGCAGCAATTCCAAATTTCAGAAGACTTTATTAAACACACAGCTCCATTCACAAGTGTGCCCCCCACTTCACACACAAGCCCGCCCTGTCCTGGCCCACAGTTCCCATAGCTGACCTGGGATGGCAACCTTGGCTCAAAGAGAAGCAGAGGTTACGTTGGGGAGTTTGTGTGGAATCCCTGACGGGAAACGTAGACCTGTGTTTCTCAGCTTGTTTGCTGCTTATCCCTGAAAACCTCCTTTGCATCCCAGTTCTCTGGGTATTTCTGACCTCAGCAGGGTATCAGCTGATCGATGGCTTCTGCTCTGAATTCTCACGTGGCTGTCTAAGCCCGCTGCCTGAGTTCCTGTTGTCTTTCTCCCACGAAGCTTTGCCTTATTGTCAACCATGAGTTTGTTGCTCACTATGCAAGGACTTTTTCTGTAGACCTTCTCAAACTCACTTTCCAGGCGGGCACACGAGTCTCCTGTTTGGTCTGTTCCAGCTCACTGTCGCGGGGATGACTGTTTCAGTCGTTGCTGACAGTTTCTTAGGGTGATCACTGTTCAGGTTCAACTCCTAGTACAAGTTATTATTTAGAAACAACTCCTCTTCACCCTGAGTCACCCTGCTCATGTTACGGACAACTGGGGTGAAGCCATCCCCAATTGTGGTGGTGGGACATGGTGTTATGTCACTTGGGGTGTCCACCCCCGACCCCGGGGCGGGCTGCCCTCACTGCTGTGCACCGTCCAGGCTGCAAGGCCAGGAGCAGAGTGATGGTCGCCGTCTCTAGCAGGCTCCTTTCCTTCTACGAGTGGTCCCAAGGCCGGGCTGCGCCTTGCAGCCATCTTCCTTCCTCGGTCAGCTCAGCCCGCCTGGCACAGGGGTCCATGGCAGCCAAGTGTGCCATGGAAATCACGCTCTTCTTGGAGATTCTGCCCATTAAATGAAACCTAGTGAGGCTGTGAGAGGTCTCCATGATAACGAAACGAAGATGAGTGAAAGCGGGTGGGCATTATCAGGCAGGAAACTACAGGAAGAACAGAGTTAAGATGTTCGCTGGGGGGACAGCACCCCGTTTTCTGAATGGTACCTGGCCACTGATGCTCTACAGCTCCTCAGGGAAGGGGCCACCTTCAGACTTTATTGGGTCCGCGTGACGGTCACTTGTCTGTTTTCTCTCAGCTCCATTCACCACGCTCGTCTCCCCTGCATCTCCCAGGGCATGGCTCCCTCCCCCTACCCCGCCCAAGGCAGCCTCTCAGCCCCTCCCTCCGGTCCCAGCTCCTGCTGGGTGGAGCCAGCTCCAGGGCTCTGCAGTCACACCATCTCCTCCCTTTGTCCTCCCAGCCTGCAGGAAGGTGGGGCTTCTACTGGGGGAATATTTGCCTCCCTTCCCCTGTGTGGCTTCTCTTCTCCTCCATCACTTGTGAAGTTGAATCCCTGTGTATGAAATACCTAGATTGATTTCCCTTTTCTGACTGGACCCCACCTGGGCTAATCATCTAAGGAGTGGACAAATCCTCCTGAAAACAAAAGCCTTGCAGTTTTAAATGTAGGCCTGTGGGTCTTGGTTGCCCAGCAGGCTCAGCATTTAGGAGTGCCTACAGAGTGGAGAACCTGGGCGTTAAGTTGAAAAAGATAGGCCTTTTGTATTGCACATCACTGGTATTCCTTTGCTTCCATTTATCTCGGGTTATTGGGTTTTTAACCCAAGCTGGTAGTGAATTGCCACGTAAAAGCCAACATGCAAAACATGATGTTTTGGGTATTGTGGACCACCCCCCCGCTCCCAATCCCCGACAGATTGATTTTGGATAACAGCCTGTTCGTTAGTGTTGAGGGCAAATACTAAGGGAGCAGCCTTAATAAGCTTCGATGTTACTCACTTTTTGACGTGGAAATCCTTTGCCGGACAGTGGTGTTGGGGGAGGGGAAGAAGAGAGGCAGGACGTGAGAGTAGACATTGGGGGCTGGGGGGGGCGGGGGGGGGCGGGTGGCACGTCCCAGCTGTTGTCTGGGCTCCGTTTTCCCTGTAGGGATGGCAGGAGGAGCCCAGGGATGATTATTCTGATTCTGAATGGATACATTTTTTTCCTTGTACTACTTCTTATCTCCAAATGGGTGACCTTTAAAATATTTGCCTTATTTTATTTACCTATCTGTCTTATTAGCCACTGCTTCCTACATCTGTAGCATCTGTAAATACTGCACTGAAACGGAATGGACCCGGAAGCTGGTGTAAACAGGATTCTCTCTTTCTCCTGGGCCTGGGTGTCAGGCAGGAGCAAGGGCCAAGGATGAGAAGGTAACACTGTGCTGTAGGTGAAGAGCAGTGGGCTGCTCTTTGTATCCTGTTTCAGCAACAGTTACTCCTCGTGAGTCCTTTACTCTTAGGCTCTGAGAGAAGGGATCAACGGGAATTTCATTGATCATTCTGTAGGAATCAAATTTGCGCTCTGTGCATTTTCCCTGAGGTCTGTCAGGGACTGCAGAGGTCACCGGTCTAACCCTGTCACCTTACAGATAAGGAAAATGAGGTCCACAGGGGTTAAGTGACTGGCCCACCGTGCACCATGGCTGATGGGGAGGTGGCGGCCCCAGGACCGACACCGCAGCCCTCTCCTCTTCCCGCTCTCCTGGCTGGTCCTGTGTTCATAGCCCGTGTGGCAGCAGCACTCCCGGACTGTGCACGGTGACGACCTGCTCTAACCCCTCTGAGGAGCACAGTGTGAGGTGGTGGGTCTTCGTGGATGTCGTTCCCAGATACAGTGAGAGCTTCCTGGCTGAGACGTAGGGCTGAATTATTCAAACGGTGGAAGAACAAGCCGGCCAAGAGAGGAGTTTGGCTGTGTCAGCGTAGCCAGACGTGAATCCCAAAACGGACGAGTTTGACTAGACCTGCTGCCAGAATCTTTGGATATAACTTCTGATAGTAAATGCTTTCTCTGAATATGGATGCCAGAAAAAGAGTTTAAAAATTTTTAACTGTGTTGTTGAGATCACTTCCAGGCTCTGAAGGAACAGATAGCCTTCAGGTGACTAGAAGAACAAAACTAAACCTTCTTTCTCTAGGAATAAAATGTTATACTATGAGGAGACGGTGAAATGGATTTTTACA